GACTGGGCAACAATCAATGAATAGGAGACAAGTCCTTCCCCATCTTCCTGTATTTTGTTCAGATTGCCTCCTCCCACCCTGTCAGCTGGAGTGAGCAATGTTTTCAAGAACAGAACTAAACAGTTATTAGGGGATGCCTGTCTACTAACATAGTAAAGGTCTTAGGGATCATTTTAAAGTAGAAACATCTTCTTGCAGTTTTTAGATCTTTCTGTATTCTATTGATTTCTGTACAACTCAGGTCCTGTTGTAGATCCTCTGTTATGTTTCTGTGTTTTGTCTAATCATCCATTAACGAATTCATTGCTCCTTCAAAACTCAACTCCCTATAAAACTAGTTTATTTGTTTTGTTTGATTGTTTTTTTTACAGAATTTCAGTACACATAGGAAAATGAATTGAAGCAAAATCTTTTTTTTTCTGATTCAGCAGTATCTTGTTGTTTTCCTCTAGCTTGAAGTTCATGCCCCGCCTGGCACACCTGTAGGATATATTAAACAGACCTGGAGTCCCTGTTTACCTAAATTCACTATCCAGAATGCAGCCCGTGAAGATGTACTTAAAATTGTTGGACCCTGCATAGTATGCAGCTGTTGTTCAGATATTGATTTTGAAGTAAGTAACACTAGAACCTGTATTCTATCACAAGGATGGAACATGTGTGATTGTCTATTTGTTGTTGAAATACAACTCCGATCAGTAATTAGCCTACACATTAGTCGCAAGTGTGAGCACTGATAGGAGTTACAATTCTACATTTGGAGCCTTACCTGGTCCTCACTCTTTCTTTATCATTGGCCAAGGCCTGTAGAATGATGCAACTTTCCCTCTTGCCTCGCACACCTATTCTGTTCTCCAGTAATGGAAAAAAACTATTATGGGTAGCTTTTTGTTATTAGCATTCGTAGAACATCATCAGTTCCTGTATTACTTGTTGATCTTGTTTAATGGTTTTATTTTTTGGTTAAGAATTGTGTCTGCTGGATATGAAACAACCAGAAAAAAAAAACATGGCAGACATCTCCCCCCCCCCAAAAAAAAAATTGGGGCTCAGTTTTAAAAGAATATCATAAAAATTAAAGACAAATAGAAGTGACAGGTGCTGAGTGGGAGAAATGAAGCTCTCTAAGTGACCCCCTGCATTCACTGCACTAGCAGATTCAAATAATTTTCTTTCATTTTAAGAAGGGAAGTATAAATAGGACATAGACCAGTAATTTTAATATATATATATATATTGAAAATATCATAGTGAGTCATAGTGGTAACTGGTGGATTACAACTCTGGAGACCATCATCTAGGTCCCTGTTCAGCTATGGAAGGCTGCTGGGAGCCTGCTGTTGGCAAGTTATACTTTCTCAGTCGCCTTTCTGAACAAATCTTGCCAGGAAACTCACATGATAGGATCTCCTTAGGGTTGCCCATAAGTCAGAAATGCTTGAAGGCACCCAAAATTAGTACAGAAGTGGGGAATTGTAGCCTAGGACCTTTTTTTTAATTCAACATTCTCCCCCCTCTTCTAAACAATCTTTGGAGTCCTATAAACTCAGAGCAGGCCTATCTTTCACAAGTAAGAATAGCAGAAGTTATTTCAATTTAATTCCTTGATAAATAAAGCACTTTCCTCTGTCCTGGCACAGCTCATTTTAATGTCAAAAGTCCAGTGGCTGTAAAGGTAAAGGTAAAGATTTCCCCTGACATTAAGTCCAACTCTGGCAGGTGGTGCTCATCTCAATTTCTAAGCCAAAGAGCTGGCGTTGTCTGTAGACATCGCTAAGGTCATGTGGCCAGCGTTACGCCATGGAGCACTGTTACCTTCCCACAGAAGTGGTACCTATTGATCTATTCGTGTTTGCAAACTGCTAGGTTGGCAGAAGCTGGGCCTAGCAGCAGGAGCTCACCCCTCTCCCCAGATTTGAACCACCAGCCTTTTGGTGAGCAAATTCAGCAGCTCAGTAGTTTAACCCACTGTGCCACCTGGGGGCGGGGGGCAAAGTTTCATGCATTTTGAGTCCCTTTTTAATACTTCTTTTAATCTGCGTGCTTCCACCCTTGGTACATGCCCAGACCTATTGTAGCAATACCTGTTCCCAAATAATATTCCAGAACTGTTAACTACATACTTAAGGGTTAAATTAGAAGTGAACTTGAACTTGGGAGTCCATAGTTTTGTTTGTTTTGATGTTTGTTCCTGTGGGAAAACTATGTAAATACTGCCATTTCAATATTTGTGAAGAGTGGACCACTTTTGGGAATCAAAACATTTTTCACCATTCCTCCTAGGATTGCAGAAAGCATGTCAGAGTAACACACAGCCTTCCCCAAGTGCCAGAACTGTTACTCTTTTAGATAATGGATGTGGTTTTCTGCCTCTATCTAACATTTTAATGACAGCTTAGAAATATTACTTCACATACTACTTGATTTCCAATAATTATTTCTAATTATTTCTGTTTTTCATTATAATTCATTAATTTTTAATTATTATCATTTTTATTATTTATCAACGTTGTGAATTGCTTTCAGCATTTCCCCCACTTTTTGCAGGGAAGGAATAGCACTGTAGTTAGAAAATGTATCTGATTCTTAGAATTGTAATTTCTCAACTTTGAATGACAGCTGTTTAGAATGTGATCACTCTTAAGATGCTGGAATTATTTGTTTTTAATGGGTCCTTTTAAAATACCCTGAAGGCCAATGGTTAAATGATGGGTAATTTAAAAATGAGCTAATACAATAAAATATCTAATCCTTGCATAAGATATTTGCTTGCAATTTCCCTTTCCTACCTGTAAAAACACCTGGCACTCGCTTCATGGATGTTAAATATATGCCTTTACTGATACATCTTTTCTCACACATGTACATTTTATCTTGCTCACATTCACACCTTTTCACATTCTCCTTCCTCCTTTCTTTAAAGGTGATGTCAAAGGATGAGAAGAACACAGTCGGAAAAATCTCTAAGCAGTGGACTGGTTTCGTAAGGGAGGCATTTACAGATGCTGACAATTTTGGCATCCAGTTCCCACAGGACCTTGATGTCAAAATGAAAGCTGTCATGCTTGGGGCTTGCTTCCTCATTGTAAGTGTAATGGTCTTGTCGGCTTTGCTATTCATAATCTTATTGTTTATTGAGATGAAACAGATGCCCATATAATTTGAGGCATAGATCAGGCCCATAACGTTATACAGAGAAACACTTTCAGCCCTTTGAGTCTATCTGGTTCCTTATATCTGGAGAGAATGCCATGTAGATATTGTAAGTGATTAATTAAAAGAAATGGGGTTTGTTGACACTTGCTAAAATTACAGTAAGCAACTTAATATTGACATAAGTCATTAATTGCATTGCCGTAGCTCTCTGTCAGTAGTTCTTAACCTGTGGATGAGGGACCACTAGTGGGCTGCGAGGATGAAAATCTGGTTCATGAGCCTCCTTTTTCTTTATTTCTTTTTTTATTTCCAGTTCTTTTGCATCACCTGCCATTTCTTTCCTGTTGATGACCAGCCCCTTGGATAGACCACATCAGCTCTAGATTATTAAATATGGTTTTCTGTGGGTGAGCAGATTGCAACTACTGGATGGCATATTTCTTTATCAGAAACCAGAGCCGATGTGGTCTATCCAGTGCAATTTTCTGAATCAGTGCCCAAATAACCAAACCAAATCTAAAGTTGACCAAAAACTGATTTGTAGCCCTTTTGGTGCTAATGTTGGAGAGTGGTCCCTGGTCAAAGTGGTCCCTGGTCAAAAAAAGGTTGGGTACCATTTCTTTAGATAATATTTACAATTAAGCAACCTAACAGCCAGATATGGAAGGGAACCATCCAATTCCTGACCGTCCAATCATATAAATGAATAGCAAAAATATGAGGAATTGGTGTATATACTCAGGTATAAGTCATCCTCATATATAAGTCAAGGAGCGGATTTGGGGGCCAAAATTGCTGATTTTGATATGACCCATGAATAAGTAGAAGGTCATTCCATAGAGAGGGGGAAGCACCAGTGCTAGCCATACCTGGTCTTCCACTATTTCCCCATAAGTATTCAAAAAGGTCAGAAGTGATGCCACAGCAGAGGGAGTAGAGGGGGTTGATGCTTCTTTTAGGTTCTCCCTGAAAGGGACAGACTAAGCTCTTGTCTTCCATCATCCAATGAAGGAGGTTTCTTCTTTCTATATATAAGAGTTAAGGCACAGTATTCACATTGACCTGTGAATAAGTTGACTTAGGTTTTTGGGTCGATTTTTTCTACTACAATTTCAAGACTTATACATGAGTTTATAGGGTTAATGCAATTCTTCAGGTGACAGAGTTGACTATTTCCTAGGTTGCGCTTGGACAATACTCTTAACTCATTAGCTGTGTGAGTTTTTTTCCTGTAGAAATGCTTGTTTTCTGTCAAAACCATTTTCTTATTTGTGAGTGGAACAATCTCCCAGCCAAGCTTCTTACAAAGATCTAAAACAGCCAAAATTTTAAAAAGCCAAAAGAGGGATACTATGGAGGAGAGATTAACTATATAATATTTCATTTCTACAAATTTGTGGCAAATCCATATTTTTTCCAGAGTACAGAAATACTCTAAATTCTTGTGCAAAATTTGGATATGTTGAAAGTAGGCTGATAGGCATATGAATTTGGATTTAATTGCTATTGTATCAGTACAGCTGTCCCTTGACCATATTTGTCAGAATTTTACTTTGAGATCTGCAACAAAAATAGGAGCACTCCATACTTCAAACATGTTTTCAAGTTTTTCTGCTGTGATGGCAGTAAGTTGCATTTGTGAGTCCCAATTTATTTATTTTCTTTTTAGAGCCATGTCCCTGTGTTAAAGCCATCAAAATTAAAATAGAAAAAACTTATATTTTACTTTTATTTTCATCAGTTACTATTTGTTGTTGTTTCTTCTTTTGTAGGACTTCATGTTTTTTGAACATGGACAAGATCGTAACCAGAGAGCTGGCGTCTGGTAACATGTGGCCTGTACACTGCTTCAGAGGAAAACACTGTGTTAATTCTGTCCTTGCTTATCGTAAATGAAGATTCTGATAGTTTTTTTTTTTCATTTTAAAAATTGGTAATGTGGCTACATCTTTTGCACCTGTAGCATTTATTTATGAAAGCTGCTCTATACTTGTTTATATAACTATTTTTATATGTCCAGTGTATTCATAATAAGATGGATCCTTCCTCTTCCATATGCAGCGCCATGGAGCCATTCCACATATTGAAAAATATTGTGCCTTGTGACTTTAAAACCAAAGGTTATGTCTGTGTTTTATATGTACATATAACATAAACTTTTATGATATTGCCTCCAGCAGTTTATTGGAATCAAATAGCACCTTACTCTACAGTGCATATGGTGTGCATACATCTATAAGGCTCTTTATCTCTTTCTCTACCTCATGCATGCATGCACACACACACACACAAGTAAAAATATTAAACTGAGGGAAATTGCAGTGACAATTGTATGGAGACATATATAGCAGGAGTGTTTATAATTATATGGCATTGGCATTTTTGTCAGTATGGGAAAGACATCTTGAAGTCTTGCTCTTACCACAAACTCTGGTGGGAAGGCTTTTAGTTATTTTTCCTTCAACTTAAATGAGAGAGGTAGCTCCTCCCCACTATTTCCATCCTCTTTCACATATTGAGTGATTTTATTCATTTGAGAATTAAAAACACTTTTTCTAGGACTTTTTGCTAGTTCCCTTCTTTCTGGACAGGAATTCTACCCTGAGTTGGGAAATGGATAACATTCTAATCACTGAGGTCTCTTTGGACAAGGAGTGCTCCGTGGATGAGCATAGCATCTTTGACATGTTTTATTCTAAAAGAAGGTTGGTCTACCCTTGCAAGAATAATATAATAATAATAAAATTTTATTTCTAAACCATCTCTCCCCGGAGGGACTCAGGGCAGCTTCCAAATACAAAGGCTAATATTCAGTGCAATATGTAAATATAAAAACACAGCGCAGTAAAATAGCAAATCATAGTTAAAAGAAGACCAGGCACTGTGCTAGTTCAGGCAGCAGAGCTGCATGTCAATGTTTTACTTCACAGAGCTTTGGTTACATGGATAATTGATGTTGATTACTTCTAATTCATTTTTGTTGGGGGGCAAGTTCTCCATCCAGACTGCTGCTGGTGGGTTTATATTTATGTCCAACAGGCTGTGACAAGCCAGGGGGGCAAAGGTGAGTAGGAATTGGTTTGGGCAGTTCCTCAGCTAAATACTAGACCAAGCATGCATACCTGTGGCAAGCTCCAAAGAGGACACTAAAGGAGACTACTGAATGCCACCTATGGGAAAAGAGTGGTAAATATAATATAATATAATATAATATAATATAATATAATATAATAAAGTATGCTAGTCAATAATAATAATAATAACAGCAACAACTTTATTTCTATACCCCACCTCTATCTCCCTGAAGGGATTCAGGGTGGCTTACATATGGCACAATGTGCCAAGACAAAGCAGAAAATAAACACATAGTACAATACAATAAAGTAAAAATGATAGCATATAAAATCAACAGTTTAAAACTCATAACAGTGCCCAATGACTTATGATGACAAATTGACATGGCCAAATTGTAAACAAGACAAGTGAATGGGCTAGTGCAAATTGTAGCTAAGGAACAGGGCATGGGATAAAAGTGCAGTGCTGTATCGTTGATTGCGAACCATTGGGCTAGACATTATCAAAGGCTTGTTTAAACATACAAGTCTTCAGATACCTACAAAAGGAAGACAGTGTGGGGGCCGCCTAGTCTCCCTGAAGAACGCGTTCCGAAGCCGGGGAGCCACCATCGACAAGGCCCTCTTCCTCGTCCCCACCAACCACACTTTTGACAGTGGTGGGACTGAGAAGAGGCCTCCCTGGCATATTGTAATGCTTGAGCAGGTACATAGAGGGATGCAGTCACAAAGGTAGACAGGGCCCCAAAGCATTTAGGGTTTTATAGGTAATAGCCTGCACTTTAAATTGAGACCAGAATCTTATCGGCAGCCAGTGCAGCTGCTTTAATAGGGATATTGTGTTCTCCATATAGCCAGCTCCAGTTAGTAATCTGGCAGCCAATATTTGTACCAATTATAGTTTCTGAGCTGCAATTAATACAAATAATACATTCCTCTTTGTCTTCAGCATCACCTGATACCCATCAGTTCAGTTGTGCAATTGAGAGGGTTGCATCCCCTTCTCTGCCCTGTCCCCCAAAGCCTAGGAAAAAACTTCAGTAATGTTTTGCTATAACAGAAATTGCAAAGTATTCTGGTATCCACAGCCCCCCACTTCCTGCTTCTCTGGGAGGTGAGGGCAGGCTCCTCTCAGTTCCCTCTGGAGCCTTCTCTTAATTCTCCAGTCAAGTTATTTTCTCCTGAAGAGTTTGCTGTGTTCTTAAGGAAGGTGGAAAACACTTGAATAGGCCCCTGGAGAATGGGTCTCACTCTTTGATGAAGGTGTTGGATAAATTTCCAGAAATCACAACCCAAAAATAAACAAGGTGTGTCTTATCCCCCTTTCTTGAAGTTATGCAGGTACCATGGTGGGAGAATGGATTCACTCATGTACCTTAGGACTGTTCCTTTCCTCTTGAGGTTTTAGAGAAATGAAAAGTCCCTCTTATTGATACCTTTGTTGCAGCTCTCATGTCAACTGTGTTATTCCCCAGAGATAGTTATGACCCTCCCTCCAAAAATGTGAAGGTTAAAAAGAGTCTTTCCAGTGTAGAATGCATCTTGGAACACCTTCTGTGATATCACTTTTTGCCAGGACAGCTATCAAGCGGGCCAAGAAATTCTGCAAATTTCTTCTAAGGAGGTTCATATTGGACAGGGCATTAGTAAATTGGTTAAAGCATATTTTTATGGAGGATGCCAATACTGACTCTGCAGTTTTCATCTCAGGCCATTGTCACTGGTGTGTCCTGTATTAATTTAAGTACCTATTTTTTTTTAAAAAAAATAATGATCTAAATTGTTTGGGGAAGCTGTAAATGAGATTTTTATGAAAACTGGGCATAAGGGGGGAAAAGCACTGCTACCTGCTTCCAAGAAGAAAAGAGAACATTTCAGGATGCAGCCCCAACACTAAACCCATTTTGACCAATGAGCCACATCAGAAACAACATCATTATCCCTGTTTTAATAGGGGACTTATGCACCCATCCACTTCACAACACAACAGAAACAACCATGGACAACAGTCGTCTCTATTGCTCATGGTGGCTGCCATTATGAGTTGGGAAGACCTCCTTCAGTTTGCCCACCATTGGGAATGAAACCTTTCTAATGCTTCTTTTCTATAAACAAAGCAGATTTTCTACACAAGCTCCCAGACTTGTTTATTCAGTTGCATCACTCTCTATATGCTTCCGATCAGGACCATAGTGTTGCAGCAGACAGCAGCCTGTCTGTTGGGACGCAAATGGGGTGGAAGAATGACACTAGGCTAGAGCAGAGTTCCAAGTTCAAAGCTTTACTGTTCCAATGGGAAAGGGTGAGAAACCTCAGCCCAGGAGCTGAATCAAGGGGTTTCCACACACCATGATTTAAACAGAGCACATATTTATATACAATTGCTTACATAACTTGTTGACAAAGATCAATTATTAATACAAAGAAAAAAATCTTAATCATCTTGATAATCATTTAGAACTTCTGAAGTCAGCATGGGTGGTGTGTTTTGGGTCATATTCCAATATCCCCTATGACTTTATGCTGGTCAGCAGTTCTGACATGTCCGGGTTAAGTAATTCATTCTTCATATTTCTAAAGGAGTCATACCTTCTATATAGTTTTTACTGTAATTACATTAAGATAGCAGGTGAGGTTCCGATACTCAGGTACTATTCTGACCTTAGTTGGGGGTCATTGGGCAGATCATGTTTATTGTCTTTTATCTATGTCATATGCTTGTTTATTGATATCGATTTTGTCTAAAGTACAGAGCCTTTGGTTCCCTAATCTGATAATAACCATGATTATCTTATTCAGTGAGAACAAGTTGACTGGGTACTAACCGTAGAGGTAAAATCAGGTTATATGGTAGAGTCTCTGTATTAGTCTTTTAATAAATCTTTAAGGGGTGCTGCCTCAATAGAACCAGTTCCTTCAGCCCAGAGATTTTTTATTTGTCAAAAAATGGGGAATAGAGGAATAATAGGCCCATTAGACACAATAAAACAGGTTTAACTGAAGGAACATTTCATTTGGAGATTGGTGTATCATTGACTATCAAGCAAAAAGTGGGTGCTAGAAACAATATCATATGAAAGTTGACTGGCACAACCTGGGGATCACAACCAGACACAGTGAAGACATCTGCCCTTGTGCTTTGCTACTCTGCTGCTGAGTACACATGTCCAGTGTAGAATACATCTCACCACATTAAAACAGTGAATGTGGCTCTTAATGAGACATGCCACATTATCACAGGATGTCTATGCCCTACAGATATCTGCAGGGAAGTAGCAGCTAGCAATGAAAGGACCAAGGTACTGACATTTCTGGCCCATCCTCTGTTCAGAATCAGCCAGCATGCCAATGACTTAAATTGGAACACCTCAGCAATCTAGAGTCCAAAAATGGCAGGCTAAAACCCAGAACCTCAATCAATGGCTGATACCAAATGAGATACTTCCTCCTGGGCACACAGAAAACTGGGTGACTGGTAAGGCACTGAACAGACTGCACTCTGGCACCACGAGATGCAGATCCAACCTTAAGAAATGGGGCTACAAGTGGAGTCCACGACATGCGAGTGTGGACAAGAGCAAACAGACCACCTGCTGCAATGCAACCTGAGCCCTGCCACATGCACAATGGAGGACCTTCTTGCAGCGACACCAGAGGCACTCCAAGTGGCCAGCTACTGGTCAAAGGACATTTAATAGAATACCAAGTCTGCAAACTTTGTGTTTTGTTTGTTTGTTTTTAATGCAATACAACTGTTTTGGTTCGTTCCTGACATGATAAATAAATAAGCCTGTACCAACCAGATACCATTGGCCACTGTACAATTCAGACAGGGCCAAGGGATTGGACACACAACATAGAATTTATCCTTTGTCTCTGAACAATATTGGCATGCTCCTGACATATCTTGTTTCAAAACCTGTTTCCTGTTTGCTTAGAATATGTGGCTGTGGGTGTATTTCTGTTTGGGAAAGTTTTAAGCACACACAAAAAAATGTGTAACTCTTTTGAATCTTGTTGATAAAAAATGTCTGTGGCAGACTTTTTGTGTGTCTTTTCAGCGATTGTAGTTAAAAATTGTGCAAAGTACAGAAGAAAGGAATTACTTTCCTGAACAGATTGGTAAAAGTTGTTGTGCCTTCATACAGCATTTTATGAAGCATTATTGTTAATTTTAGCGTGCCAGCTTAGTCATTTTGGCTTCTAGGGAAGGGATAATTCAGGCTTTTCAAACATTTTGGCAACACACTTTTTAAATAGGCATTATTTTGCAACATGGTAATTCAATTTTACCAGCAAATTGGAGGTTAAACCAACCCCTTATAAGAGACACAGAAGCATACATAAATTCTAATAATGAATGGTATGGGACATACCATATCTCATGGAAACCATTCAATTATATTTTAAAAAATGTATAATTTGTATGATTATTTTTTTTTGTCATGTCAGGAGCAACCGCTCCTGTTGTGAGAGAATTGGTCGTC